GTGCAATATGGTTCATGGGGTCACGAAGAGTCGGACACGACTTAACGACTAAACAACAACAACAACGTGAGCCTCTTCAGAGGCATGAACTACAGTTTCCATCATCCACACTAGCCAGAAGCCACCAAGTTGAGAAAGACCTTTGTAAAGAATTAGCACACTAGCTTGAAAACTGCTATTATGTTAATAGTATGACAATGCTTTATCGATGTTTTTGTGACTTCATGGTTTTATTGTTTGCTTTTCACCACTTTGATGGTTTTTACAGTTAAGGCAGTATACGAATAACCAATAATCCTTTTTTCCCTAGTCAACTAAATCCTTTCTTCTCAACTCTACAGACTCCAACCCCCATAAAGCCTTGCGCCGAGCAGCTTCCATTCCGTTCCTCCTCCTCTTCAAGCACACACAAGACACACGGAGTCCAAACCATACTTTCCTGCTTCAACGGACTACACTTCCCAAGTGGCCAAAGGCAGACTTCCGGAAACGAACATGTTCGGGCGGTCCACTTCCTTAAAAACAAGAAAGAAAAGTAATGTTTCCCTACTCAAAGAACTACATCCCCCATCATGCTCCTTGTCCTCCACCGCTCCTAAGCGAAGAAAGGGAGGGCGTACGGTCCGCTCCGTGTACAGGCGTCCCTCCTTCCCCGCCTCCTCCTTCCCGCCCGCCCGCCTTCACTACCGGAAACCCCGTAGCCGCCAATGATATTCTTGGCGGCTGCTGGGAGGGGAAAGGGGAGGAGGGGGGGGAAAGTGTCTCGCGCCCCTACCGCGCAGGCGCATTACCCGGCTTCTCTTGCAGCGGCGGTTGGTGGCGGCAGGAGACTGGGAAGGAGATTGGGAAGGGGGAGGAAGGCAAGGCGGCGCGCGTGCGCTTGCGCAGGCGCGCGACGGCGGCGGCGGCTCGCTGGCTGACTGTCGCCGGGCCCCTCTAGTGTGAGGTAAAGCAGAAGGCGGCGGCGGCGAGGACGGCGGCGGCGGCTGGAGCTCAGAGGACGCCTGTGGC